ATACGAACGGATGCACTGGGACATTGGGTGGAGCTCCCTGGGGGGTCATGTATCGTGTGAGGGGTGTACCGGGATGGTTCGGGAACCGAATGCACACATCGACACTGGAGCCTTCAGTGGAGCTCTCCATGGGGGCACTAGACGTGTAAGGGATGTGCGGTAGTAGGAGGGGGGGCGCATGCGGAGGGTGCGCTGAAGTCTTCGGTGAAGCTCCCTGTGGGGCCGCGGAACGTGCGAGGGGTGTGCCGACATGGGCCATGGATTGCGGGGGCGCCTGCAGACGGTACCACGCGGGGCCTTCGGTGAAGCTCCCTATGTGACCACGAGAAATTCATGGGGTGTGCCAACATCGGTCGGAGAACGCATGCGGGCGGCACCATGTGGGCCTTGGGTGGGGCTCCTCACTGGGCCACGACACATGGGCTGCGGGGGGCCGACATGGGCTGCGGGGGGCGCAGGTGGGCGGGACCATGTGGGTGTTGGGTGGGGCTCCCCATGGGGCCACGAAGCGTGCCAAATGTGTGGTCAACATTCGGGCCCTTGGCCGAGCTCCCGATGGGGCCACCAAACGTGTGGGATGCGCGCCGAACAAAAATTGCGGGGACGCATGTGGGCTGACGTTGTGGGCCTTGGGTGGAGCCCCGTCCGATTCCGGAAACCCGGAACCCAACACCGCTTTCAACTCCTGGGGACGCCGACCTTTCGCCGCGGGAGAGATGGCAGCCCCTTCGACCTCCCAAGACAGGGCCCTCCTCGACACGCTGCATATGACAAAGATCATCTGGAGGAGGTCCGCGTCTACTTTTCGGAGGCGGCCTCGTTTTACTTCCGCAGACCGTCCGCCGCGGGAGAGATGGCAGCCCCTTCGACCTCCCAAGACAAGGCCCTTTTCGACACGCTGCACGTGACAAAGAAATCATCCGGAGGAGGTCCGCGCCTACTTTCGCCGCCGACCTTCCGCCGCGGCAGAGATGGCGGATCCCCTTCGACCTCCGAAGACAGGGCCCTCCTCGACACGCTGCACGTGGCAAAGAGATCATCCGGAGGAGGTCCGCGCCTACTTTCTCGGGGCGGATCTCCCCCCGCGCTCCCCCTCGGGCGCCCCCGCGTGGCCGCCTCCCCTCGTCTGTGGCCATCGCTCGGACGCCCCTTCCCTGTGCCTTTTGTCGGTGTCCTGCGTGGCTTCTTCGCCGAGTGGTCAGGGATGCTCCTCGATGGCCCTCGCCGAGAAAAAATGCACACGTCCGAGCGATGCCAGGTCGTGGGCGACAGCGCATCTTTCCGCCTCCGCGGCCTCGCCGGCCGCGACCCCGCAGCTGCGGGGCGCTCCTTGCGCGGAGGGCCCGCGCGGAACGCGTCCGCACGCGCCTCTCCGCGGGGCTCGCGCCCCGGAGTGCGGACCGCGCGAGGGCGCGGCAGCGGAGGAGCACGCTCTCGCCGCTCGGGAGCCCCCCGCGGCCCCCGTGAGCGGAGGGCCGAGCCCTGCCCCCCCGCCGACCATCCGTGAAGGGGCCTTGGGACACACAAATCAATACACACAAATAGCAGAATTCCCCACATATTCCCATGTTCTCTGGGTTTTCGTTTTCCCCCCCCCCACTTCCCATGTTCTTCCAAGTTTTCTGGGGGATCGCCGATGAATTGTGTCTTGTGTGTTTCTTCTCCTCCTGAGTCCGCTCTCCGGATTCGATGGGGGGCTGGATTACGGTCGGGGTGCTGCCGCGTGCCTGGCGAATTCTGATGCCCACCCCCGCCGCCCATCGAGTTGCCCGAGTCGTGGATCGGACAGGGTACGGGCACGGATTCTGCCGCCGAGGCGCGGATGCGGATCTGCTTGCCCCTCGTGGGCGGCGCGCGCAGGGGGGGCAGGGGGAAAGGGGAAATCCTCCTCCGGGAGGCTGCTTCTCGGAGGGCGCGGCCCCAGATCTATCTCAGTGGTGCCTCTGTGCCCCCTAAAACACACAAGGTGCTTCTGAGAAGCCTCCGCCACTCCCCCATACTCTGGACGCCCGAACTGGGCACGGAAAGACTGGACACAGTGCCCAACAACAAATCTTGTCCCAAACCAACTGCGGCCGCTGTTGGGCAGGCGGCCTTCTGCCTCGAATGGACACAGGCCGCGGCGGCGCGGACAGCGAATCCGGTTCAAAATGCACATGAAACTGCTGCTGGGCAGTGCACCCATTCTTTCCGTACCCATTCTGGCCATCGCTCGGACGTCCATTCCCTGTGTGTTTTTTGGTTTCGTGCGTGGTTTTTTCGCCAATTCATCAAGGATGCTCCTCGATAGTCCTCGCCGAAGGAAAAATGCACACGTCCGAGCGATGCCAAGCATTTCGGGCGTCCAGACATACCCCCCGTCTGCGCGCGGCCGAGCTCGGGGAGACCCCGCCGCCCAATCCTCCGAAGCCGCCCGGCTGCGGCGCGCCCTGCCCGGGCAGGCCGCCGCCCGGCATGCCCGGCATGCCGCCCTGCTGCTGCGGCGGCAACTGCCCCCGCC